TAAATTTTTGTTCTACGCCAAATATTGACGAAGTTATGACTAAATTACTAAACGAATTTTCGGCTGGCCGCGTGGTGGCTGTGACGTCACAAAGCTCTAACGCTCGGGCGCGAGCGTGCGTAGAGACACTACTAAAGTTCGACCGGAGTGAACCACGATCGAGCTCTGTGACGTCGCACGTTTCGGCCGCCGGTGAATATTGGTTACCAAAAAAATTAGTTATAAAATCGCAACGAATAAACCGATTTCGATGATTCAAAAGGTATGTTAATTAAAAAGATCATTATACTTTTGTTTTTGAGTTAATTTTCTGACCTAGAAATGACCCTCATTGCCATTTTATCACGTCAGGCGGCACATCGTTGTAAATCCCAATGAAAGCTAGGGTTTCATGCGATTTGTGATCTAGGAATCTGTAAATTTTCATTTTTATATTTAACTAGCGGCCCGCCCTCGCTTCGCTTCGGTGTAGAGCTGAAGTGTAGACTACAGTTTTTGTTCTCAGGCTTGTATTATACACAATGACATTCATCTATGATTCTTCTTATACCTGCATGCAAAGTCTCAGCCCGATCGGTTTAAAATTGATAAAGTTTCATACAAACTTTCATTCCTTATTTTATCCCCTTGGGATTTTCTTTATATTTTTTTCCGTAAGAACCTTGTACAGAGTATTAGAAAACTACAAAAAAAAAACAGCCAAATCGGTCAAGCCGTTTTCATGTTATGTCGTGACAACGGAAAACGGGTTTCATTTTTATATATATAGATGAATCAATGTGCTGTACCGAGGCCGGGATGTAGTAACTCTGGTATCCATTTCGTTCTGACAGATAACAATAAAAAAAAAACAGAAGGAAATTAAAGAAAATGTAAGGCAGTACAACAATAAATTTACACGTAAAATTCATCAACTAATACAAGCTTGGTCCGCTGTTATCACAATAAAATGCAAAAACAAAAAACATAGTAAACAAAGCAACACGATTGGACAGTAAGTATTGGCCCGGTGGCGCCATCTACACTGAGTTTTGCGTGTTGATCCTCTGAAGGCACCAAAATGTCAACCAATTAGGATTCATTGTATGTTTACTACGGATTAAAAGAAGAAACCTTGGACTACTTATGTTTCTAAGTATCCTCGGGAGAAAAGACCCTAAATCCATTTATTCGGAACTAGTGGCCCGCCCTCGCTTCGCTTCGGTGTAGAGCTGTAGTGTAGACTACAGTTTTTGTTCTCAGGCGTGTGTTGAACACATTGAATTTATTTATTTAATTCTTTTTCTATGATTCTTTTTTTATTGAATAGGTAATAATGTTAACTTTTTTAAATAAGAGATGAGTGAGAGTATTATAAACGTAAGAGTAAACAAATATAATCAGAATGCTCCGAACTGCTAAGCTATCAGGAGTTACACGTATTATTGTGAGTAAACCATAAAAGACAGACATATGCTGTTGCAGGATATTTTTTAGACAATTTTATGTAGAATATTTCCGTGATACATGATTTCTATGTAACTTTAACCATTAAGGCTGCGCACGCGACGGAAGCTTAAAAAATGGAGTAACTTCTCCCGTTTTCCCAACATTTCCCTTCACTACTCTGCTCCTATTGATTGTAGTGTGATGAAAAGTATAGTATAACCTGCCCAGGAGTATGAAGAATAATTGTACCAAGTTTCGTTAAAATCCGTCGAGTAGTTTTTGTTTCTATAAGGAACATACACACAGACAGACAGACAAAAATTTTACTGATTGCATTTTTGGCATCAGTATCGATCACTAATCACCCCCTGATAGTTTTTTTGAAAATATATTTCATGTACAGAATTGACCTCTCTACAGATTTATTATAAGTATAGATAACATCGTCAATTGTTATTATGGCATTTCCTTCGTATTTTGAGGATCAGTAGGTATAGAGCAAATAACAGGCCAAACTTTTTGAACGTTGAATTTTAATTTGAAGGAGAAAAATGCTAGGGGTTAGCACAAAAAGTCCTCCGCCCGCCACTGGTCCATTGTGTGATTGTGTGCCACATGGGGCGTGGGAACGCGCGACATGTGAGCTAATTAAGCAGGGCGGCGACCGGCGACGTTATCCCGGGACGCATCATACTTTTCAATTTTATGATGCCTGCCTGCCTACTATAGGTACTACTGCCTACTCGGAATACTGAACAGCCGTTTACTCAAGAGTTGCATCATGTTCAGTAAATATGGATGTTTACTTTTTGTTGGTACCCTTACTACGCTATATTCTTTTATTTTTTACTAGTGGCCCGCCCTCTTCGCTTCGGTGTAGAGCTGTAGTGTAAACTATAGTTTTTGTTCTCAGGCTTGTGCCTGACAAACAATGACTTTATCTATATAATTACACGTGTTATTGTGACTCAACCATAAAAGATAGACATATGCTGTTGCGGGATATTTTTTTGACAATTTTATGTAGAATATTTCCGTCATACATGATTTCTATGTAACTTTAACCATTAAGGCTGCACACGCGACAGAAGCTTAAAAAATGGAGTAACTTCTCCCGTTTTCCCAACATTTCTCTTCACTATTCTGCTGCTATTGATTGTAGCGTGATGAAAAGTATACTATAACCTGCCCAGGAGTATGAAGAATAATTGTACCAAGTTTCGTTAAAATCCGTCGAGTAGTTTTTGTTTCTATAAGGAACATACACACAGACAGACAAACAGACAGACAGACAAAAATTTTACTGATTGCATTTTTGGCATCAGTATCGATCACTAATCACCCCCTGATAGTTATTTTGAAAATATATTTCATGTACAGAATTGACCTCTCTACAGATTTATTATAAGTATAGATATAGATATCACTATTACTGAACTTCATCTGATTACCGAAAGAGCAGCAGTAAAGCATTTAAGCATAAAAATGGAAAGGCTTCGATGTAATTGAAAAAAGTTAAATTGTTTTACAATACGTATTAACTTCAATAGTTCAATAAATATTTTTTAGATAACTCATAATGAAGACTATCAGAGGGATAGAAATTTATGACGACCCAAATTAAGAGAGATCGTTTAGATTTAGACTGTGAAAGAATATAAAGAGTTGAAAATAATAGTTACAATTTGAAAGTATAACAGTCACTGGTGCCGCGTGCGGAGTTCGGTCTCGAAGCCGCATGTACGTCGTGTCAGAGGTCGTAGACTCCGATTGTTCCGCTCACCACATAGTGCAGCGAGAAAAACAATGGGCGAATTATCGTGCCACATTCCGAACAGTGTTGCCACCTTGGATTTTTTTAAGGCGCCAAGTCAAAGGTAAATAATCGCCAGATTTCAAAAATTTGGATTTAATAAAATACACCAAAATCCGCTAAATTACAATTACATCTCTGATAACAAAAAACTCTAATTTTAATAAAAAACCAGTTAATATGTATGAGATGCTACAGAAATAACTGTGAGTAACCACATAGAACATTATGAAATTTCAGAAAGTTAGGGCATTTCCCCATTAAAAATATGTTGCTAGATTTCATGTTGAAAAACCACTAAAAACACTAAAAAAATGTACCCGCTACATTATGAAAATATACCACTAGACGCCGTGAAAAAGCACCAGTTCTGGTGGAAAAATCACCAAGGTGGCAACACTGATTCCGAACGGGAGAGAGACGTCTCTCGAAATACTGATGTACGAGTAGATATGCCGCCGAATAAAATGTGGGCGGAGGTTAAACTAACATTCATGTTAATGGCAATGCACCACGTAGATTTAGATTTGAACGAAGCAGGATCAGTGAAGATGTAAACGTTCGATTTTAAAAGCAAGTTTGTACAGTAATCTTATGTTTATTTAAGAGAAGCCGACTCGATAGACGTAGGCAATCCTGTCCAAATAGGTGTTTCTTATAATCAACTCATTTCCATACCGGTAGAATTAAAATAACAAAATAGAAATAGAATCTACATAATACTTGATTGATTATTTCGTCAAGTATGATTTATGATGAAGTGTGATTTTAAAGTTTCCGTGCGTTTTTATATTTTTTATATTGCTTGTCTCAAGCTATGCCATTTTTTAAAAGATTAAGTTACAATTAATATAAAAGTGCGATGTTACCAAAAACTTCATTATATAGTTTTTTCTATATAATATTACCCATACCCATATCAATTTCCCACCCTTATTTTATGTACTTGGTCTATGTGCAGTAGAAACCTATGTTTTTTATTATTACCTATACTTACATAAACATCATCTGTCACTTCACTTCATCCTACTCTTTTCCGTCACCACATTTCTTACATTCACTCCTTCCATTTTGCATGACATTTCTCGAGTCTATCCGTGTCTCCAATATTGTTGGTACTAATACTCAAGTTCAAATGAAAAACTTTTACATAGGCACCTAGCTGATGTAAGTTTCGAAGTTGCCCGTGGTCAAGGTAGGTCAAAACATGTGTTTCTTTATAAATCGCCAAGCTTGACGATGCCTGCAATCGGTAGCATACACAATCAGCATCCCTGGGTGATCAGGGTATTTCCTCCCGAGCATTCGGATGCAACTGCAGTCGTACGAGTTGCCTATCGTCATTATCATAATCTCAGCGGAGAATCAGTAAATCTGATCAGCAGTCGATTCCGAGCTACATCAGTAGTAGGTTAGCGTTCACCAGTTTGCACTGAGAGTTCGAAGTGGCTTGTGGCCAGTTCTTGCAGCAGTGCTGCCCATATTTGAACGTCTTGTTGCAGCAGTGGGGAACTGAGGATATTATTATTATATTATAACCAGGGAGGTATTTTTTAATACCGCCCCATTTCGATTTGCCCCCCTCCCCCCGGCTCCGCCCCCGTCTCCAATAATAATTAGTGAATCAAATCAAAGGTCAGGAATTAATGCCTTTATATGGCTTTTGCGGCCACTCGAAGCTCTTACAGCCACCCCGGGCCATGGTCCTCTTGGCCCTAGGATGAATGTATTGAAGGAGCAATAAAAGCGATGATATTACCTGCTGCATCTTGTCGAAGTCTAGCGCGGGGCGGTGGCGGCGCGGCGGCGGCAGCGGCATGCGGCGGCGACGCGGGGAGGGCGGCGCGCGCTCGCAGCCGCACGACCCGCTGCCACTACCGCCCGCCCCGCTGCTACCCGCGCCTGCGCCCGCGCCAGTGCGCCGCGGCTTCAACGCTTCCAGGGGCGGAGACGTGCGGAACCGCACAGGGGTCTCCACCTGGAAATAGTGCCCCATTCTCTCTCACTACAGGTGTTACTCTGCTGTATTCCAAAGACGTTCGCTAAGATGTTGACCCTTGGTTGAAGCTAACAAAAATTTAAGAAGGCTAAGCTACAAAGAATTATCTGGAAGAACAGGGCTCAACCGCTAATACACAATCGTTTGGTGTGAGTCCAAAAAAAATTAAACAAGATGAGCTTTAATGGTGTGAAAAGACTTTCTCAACGGACGCCGAACGAACTTATTGAGACTGATGTAATAATAGCGTCCATTTTTTAGGCTTATTTTCTGTTAGTTTGCAAAACTACCAGAAGTATTGTTGAAGATTCATTTGAATGCTCAAACTTCAGAAACATTAGCTAGATAGTGTTTCTAAAGAAGACTTCAAAAATGTACACGTTAGCACATTGCTACCACTGTATGTTTGTAGTTGTATTGTAAGAGTTGGACGGACACGCGCGCAGTCAGCCTCTCTAAACGTTTATAAAGTTTTCTTTAGTTATGTTATAGTTACAACGCAACACTCCAGCAACGCGTTCACAATAATTTTAATCGAATTTTAAATAGTAGCTTTGGACGAAGATATTAAACAGCTATTTAAGATGATAATGACCTTATCATGCGTTAAATTCATATCAGTTGAGCGGGGATTTCACTTTTTCACGAGGAGACTTTATGACGGTTTCATTTCTTTTTATCATTTCATTAGGTACCGTTTTTATCAGCGATAAATATTTATCCTTACAAACGTTTCCACTGGACTAAAAAAATCACCTACTAATAGTGATCCACGCACTCGGATTTGTATAAAGATTATCTCCAGATATAGTCTACGGAAACTACAAATAAATTGATCATTATCACGATACAAGAGTCGTCCAATAGATCTGTGCAAGATGCCAAATGGAACAATATACGAGTATAACATGGTATTTGTTAAGGATTACAATGATAGTGGCGTGTATGGGGTCGTGGTGTACCTTGGTATCATCATCGTCTGAGGAGGGAGGTCTCGCGGCCCGCTCGTCGTCGTAAGGTTGCGCGGGCCACTTGCGTTTCTCAGGCGCGGCGGGCGGCGGTGAGGACGCGCCCCTCCGCCTCGACTCCACCACCCCCGCGCCCGCGTCAGCCCCCGCGCCCGCTGTGCCTGCGCCCGCGCCGCTCGGGGTCCCGTTGATCACCTGCGCGCCCACCCGACAGCCATACGCAATGATCATGGAAGTCTTAATGTTGCTCATGTGATTTTATGCAAGTCCTGGGAGTCTTAATTCTGATGAGAGACTGTTAAAGCTAGTCATGGGACTTTAATGCCGTTGGTGGGTTCTTTAATGCTAATCATGAGACTTTTAATGCCGTTCATGGGACTCTTAATGTTGGTCATGGGACGCTTATTCTCATCGCGATACTCGCTACTACATGCAGTTACCACAACTCTTTAAACTGTTAGTGTCAATGATGAGATGCAGATGAAAATATCGAACGACAGACTTACTAGACATTGCTGGTTTAAAATTTAACGATCGAATTCGCAACGTGGTCATGGAAACAATTGATAGTTCAACAAAATTAGATACCCTTCAACGCCGGCTAGGATCGTCGATTACTGAATGTAGGATCCCGGCTAGGTACATATTTACACAGCTATGAGAACAAAATTATTTTTGTTTTAGAAAAGCTTCAAACACCGAGCACTGTTTTGCACGCAATTTTCGTGATAAGAGGAAAGCCATAATTATAGGTAGGTTCCAAAAACATCAGTGGAAGTTACTTAAATAGACCAAGAGGACCAGAAACCAAAGCTGCATAAGTATTTCACGAAGTGTAAAGTAAAACACAAGTATTTCGTAATAGTATTTTCGATATTCACTGACTATCTCTTATTTCCTAAAAACGATCTAGTTATATGTTCAGTCTGTTGTGTTTATTTTGTTAATGATAGGTAGAATTTAAGGCTCGGATGAATTAGAAGGCAACGAAGTTCCTGTGTTGACGTGTAACGGTGCAGCGATACGGACAAAACGAGTGTCCTCTAGTTATATCGGAGCGAGCAAGGCGGCAGCTTCGGTGGTGACAGTGTTACGCCTCGCCGCACCCAAAAGAGATCACCCTGATACGGTAATTTTATTGCTGCTATGCTAATTATACTGCATTCTACTAATTTACCCATATTTTTAACAGTCAATCTTCAACATAAAAGAGGAATACAAAAACTACTTACAACCGCTAATGATATTCTTCATAAAAATGACCGTCTAATTGAATCCATGTTATCAGGGTTAATTGTTAAAGTAGCGCGTAGCGATTTAATAACAGGTATTTGTAGAACACTATTTTAATCATCTGATTTTCTATCCAATTGCGGCCGATGCATCATAATTGAAAGATTATGATAGGTAGGTATTTTGATACGATAAGCTTCAGCGATAGGTACTGTAAACCATAGCAATTATTTTTCTATTACCCGTTTCCTTTTCGCAATTAAAAAAGTGCTGTGACAAAAGAATTTCTAATTTCAAGCCGAGCGCAAGATAAACAAATGTTATGCAGGCAGCAGACGGAAAAAATGAATAAAAAAGCGAATTGTTTTGTGTTGCCTTCAAAAAATCTAAAATGGCGTCAATTGAAAGACGTCAGAGAGGCAAGGAGCTTCTCACCCGGCCACCCGCCTGCCTCTCGCGTCTGGTTCTCGTTATATCAGATCTTTAACTAAAACCGGTTTGTTTTGTATTGACATGTCATTATGAATATGGAGTAGGTACACTAATTGAAAATTGTTTCTCGTATCTATACCAACAGCGTAATAAATCAGTATTTAAATTACAAATCATTTTTTTAAAGTTATTGTTTAATCAGAAAAAATACGAAAGAGACAATATTTTCTCATTTTCATTTTGTCGGTCACGGAAAAAGGGCAAAATTTAAAACTTTTGGAGAAACACGGATCTATTAGTAAAAAGGTGAGAAGAAATACTTCTTTAGTGCCTAGGGTAAAAGCAACGCTTCATATTATGTACTACACTTCATGGGTTCTAAACTAATGATTTCCCATGGGACGACAATCGTGTTGCTTTAAAAACCACTGCCTATTTTAATTCACTAGAGTAAGAAGGTAGAATGAATGTTAGTATGTGCTATAAAGTAGATTCTAAGCGTTACGAGAATTACATTAGCAGACCTTTTTGTACTTAGCTTTAAGTATCTCGTAAAAATAGCCATTGCCGATACAGCAATATAAGTGGGCAGAAACGTGGAAGGTAAACTTGATTCTTTATCGATAACCATAATGTGCCGCTAAAAGTCTATTAAAAATCATTAACTATATAGTTAATGCTTAAACATTAAATAACCAAAGTTACAAATAAATAAAAGACAACACAGATATCATATTAAAGTTAAAGATAATGCAAATAGAGCTTTCACGTTTAATAAGAAGCTTAAATCAACATGACTTCTAAGAAAACTATCTCTAATAAAAATATCCGCTTCTGCTCAATCCGTAAATCTTAGGCATGAATGCACAATTTAAAATCATTAGCTTACAGAATAATCTAAAACCTAATTTGCTAAAAATCAGTGGAGCGTAGGCCAGATAATTAAAAAAGTGCAACTCTGGCTGTAGTGGAATTGTCACTAGGCGTGCTGAATACTGACACGGCGCGTTCGCCTGGTAATTTTTGCGAATCGTAAGGCCATTCACCTCATCTCATAACTTTTTAATCTCTTTACGTAACGCGAGCGATGCACCCGAGCCGCCTGAGTTCGCCTGCAGATACGATTACTGCGCAGACAGCTCTCAAATTTTGAACGCCTCAAGCACTACTAAGTGTGTTTACATGGTATCACGAACGTTTAACTTAAGATACAATAATTATTATAGGTATACAGGCTGTTTCTTTTAGGGTGTCAAGCCAGTGCGAGCTGATAGCAGAGTACCATACCTATCAATTTAACCCCCATGTATGTTCTAGGATTTTTCGTAGTTTTCGAGTTCGAATTTTTTTCGTCATTTTTTACGATTCATCGATGAGACAACTTGGACCAAGTATAACTTTGTTTTGGGTTGACTTTTCTTCGATATTTTTTAACAGAATGCCTATTGTTTGTTGTTTATAAGTAAAATAATCTCCTTCCTTACTTTAACCTAAGATATAAAAATTTTGATCGATAGTAAATAAAAATGGATTAAGTAAAACTGAAAACGTCAAATCCATTCTGGATTTTCAATTAAAATAAAAAAAATAAAAATAGATGTTTCATAACTTCTGACTAATTTTAAAAAAAGCCCGACTTCATAAGCTTTCATAAAAATACAAAAAAATATATACTAAATCAGGCATTATTTGCTGAAATCTGTCGTTGAAGGTGTTGTATCGGAAATCGTGTGATTTTATAATTTCGTAGTATCTTTGCATATTTTGTCAATCTTAAGTTTTATTCCTTTTAGTTTAAGTAGAGCTCATTCGAAAATAATAAATATCATTTTATGACAGCTCTCCTCTCGAAACTCCTGTTATCCTCCTCCTCAGGTATTTTTATTTAACGCTTAAATAAGGCAGTGTCTACTCGTATTTCGAGGACTCTCGATTGAGCTTCATATTAAGGTTGTTTGTGAGTGATATCATGCCTCAAGATTACGAATTTTCATCGCAAGATTATGCGCAAATGCATTATTTCTACGGATACGCGCGTGGAAAAGCTTCACTTGGCGCAATGATGTTTCGCGAATATTTACAATGCAGAGGAGGACGACAGCCCGAGATTTATCCATTTAAGCTGGTCGCAAACTATTCTCTCCAAAATCTTCGATGTGCAGGGCAGCAGAGCTGAGATCGCTCATAGACATAGGCTGTGTGTTTTTAGGTAGGTTTCACGAACCGGCACAGAAATTCGAAGCCATTGTGCTTTCGAAGATAAAAAGTATTGTTTTTAAAAATTAAATATAATAATGTAAATGTTCAGTACTAGAATAATAAAAAAAGTTAAGGTGACTGGGTATCGAACCCGGGATCGCTGAGCTTCAACCGAAGTAGTTAGCCCCTGAGCTATACGACCAGCAGAGTTGATAAAATTTTTGTTCACTATCTCACAGTGAATGACAGTTTGTATCATTTGATTCTTCAGAGACTCAAGTTCAATACCAAGCAGGACCAACGATCACAGTTCACTTCCACAGATTTTATGAAAATACTGATATAACTGCACCGATTTCATTGTTTTATATATGTAAATACGGGAAATTACTCGACGAAAAGATTCATTTGTACATCACAGGTAACGGTGTCAGTTTTACTATTATATTTGGCAATAAACACCAAGCGCAACGCAGAAAAGGGATTAGCAATACCTTTTCTGCTTTAGCCCCTTATTTGGCCCCATTTCGTTCGCTTCGTTCCTGAATAATTAATCTGCCGGAGCATGTTTCAGGATCGGCAGTCCAGGGCAATTACGCCATCAACCATTCTCGATGATCTAAACTGCTATAAGGTTAAGAATCCTCGTTAGGCAAACTTTGGCTTTTACATTCCTAGCTGTTCTTTATTGATTTTACAGAAAAACTCCAGCTACATAATTTAGCTTACCTCTGATATCTTATCAAAGAGAGAAACAAAATTATTACATTTTAAGTCTCAGATATCGACGAGATATTATAAGAATATTTCCATTATAGGATGGCATGACGCACGAATATGCCAGGATAACCGAAACTGGAGAAAAGCCAAGTCGTTTTCTTTTTTATCTAGTTGCCTTGTCGAAATAGTCTCTCTATATACGTTACAGGGGATAAACTTAACAAATTTTAGCCCCCAATTTGTGAAGCGTCCACATATTTTGCGACTAACAAGCCGTTTGCATCAGTTAGCTAGCCGCAGCCCTGTCATGGCGGATAGGTACTTCCCGCGCCGGTAACTTGCCGGTGGCTTACAATCTAATAACGGACCGCTGTCGCACCCTGCTGACATATTCCGAAACAGGATTGAACAAAAAGCTCCTTATACTACATCTTTCGAAACCTACATGCATAATAGGTAGATACCTACTAACAGTACATTATTCAAGACTACGATGAAATGGAAGGAATTGTTGGCGAAAACGGCTAACACAATAAAGAAGTAAATGAAATTCTGACTTTCATGGGAGATTGTATTTCGGGGAATTTCATATGCTTACAGGTTCAAATTAG